TGCCCCTCCCCGTGTCTAGTGTAGTCAGCTTGGCCCCTGTGGCTGGCTGGTCCCCTTGAGGAACTGTGCCCTCTCAAGGACTCAGTGCTGGTTTCTGTGGCGGGAAGGCTGAGCCCTGGTTCAGGGCCGGGTCAGTCTCCGGAAGAGGAAGCTCACGCTGTCGAACTCATGCGTAGCCTCGAAGGCCCTTCCTAGACCTGGAAGAGAGGTGAGGTCACAGGGCAGACCGCTGCCCCCAAAGTGCAGACGCCAAGAGCAAATGCAGACAATCACAGCTTGCTGGGGCTGGAACTGCCAGGGGCCAGGGCAGGGAAGGCCAGACAGTAATTCACAGCTCGCGGGAGATTCCGTGTAGACCAGTCTGTGAAATTAAAAACTTCAGGGGACCTGGTCATGGAGGTTCCCGCATTTATGTGAGTTTCGCTGCCGAGAACTCTTGCTGGAGGAAGAAGTTTCCCACCTGCCAACGAGGCTCCCTCAGGAAACACCACTAACCGGAGTTTAACCCACTAGAGAAGGAAAATACCCAACTCAGCACCCCCAGCCATCCTGTCTCACGTAAGACAAACAAATATTGAGGGAATTTTTTGCCAGTAGACCAGCTTTGCAAGACAGTCTTTTTTTTTTTTTATTTCTTCTTTTTTTCTAATGTTCGTTTATTTTTGAGAGAGAGAGAGAGAGAGAGGTCAAGCAGAGGAGGGGCAGACAGAAGGAGACACAGAATCCGAAGCAGGCTCCAGGCTCCGAGCTGTCAGTACAGAGCCCAACGCGGGGCTCCAACCCACGGACCGTGAGATCATGACCCGAGCTGAAGCTGGACACTTAACTGACTGAGCCACCCAGGCACCCTTAATTTTCTTATTTTAATTGATTTGGCATATGGTTTGTTCACAATAATAAACCAACAATATATTTGATCATGTATGCTTATGCATATATTACATAAATATACGGAAGCATACATGCTTATATACATATGCAATACATAAACATATATATACAAAATGATTGATTATGTTTTGTATTGAAACTGGGGTTTCTGATGGATTTCAGGCAGTTGGGTCTTGCTTTTTTTATCCCATTTGAAGACCTCCGTCTTTTGATTTTGACGTGTGGACGTCTTGCATTCAGTGGAAATTGTCGCCATATTTATTTTTTATTTTATTTTATTAAAAAAAATTTTTTTTTTTTAACGTTTATTCATTTTTGAGACAGAGAGAGAGACAGACCATGAATGGGGGAAGGTCAGAGAGAGAGGGAGACACAGAATCCGAAACAGGCTCCAGGCTCTGAGCTGTCAGCACAGAGCCCGACGCGGGGCTCGAACTCACGGACCGCGAGATCATGACCTGAGCCGAAGTTGGACGCCCAACCGACTGAGCCACCCAGGCGCCCCATTGTCGCCATATTTAAATGTAAAATGCCATCTTGCTAGTTGTGTTGTATTATGCCATCTGTTCTTTTCTCTCTCTTCTTTTTAGGTTTGGTAATTTCGATTATCCCATTACATCTCTACTTTTGGCGTCATTAGTCACACATCTTTTAGAAGTGGATTGGTCGAGAGTTTACAATTTATACCTTTAACAGAACACAGTCTACCTCCAAATGATATTATGCCGTTCATCTGTAGCGTGGGGACACTAGCAGTGTTTTTCCGCATCATACCGTCTGAGTGAGTGTTGTCTAGTTTACTTCTACACGTCTGAAGAACCCCAGGTGCATTGCTACGGTGTTTGCTCTGGACAGTCAATTATTTGTAAAGTTTTTTATAATTATCTTCTCTCTAGAATCTTTTCTAGACCCATTGTTTCCCTCGTGTACGTCCAGGTTTCTCTCTGTTCTCAGAATCACCGGCTTGAAGAAATTTTCTTAATATTCTTGGCAGTGTGTGTCTGCTGTTAATCTCTCTCAGTTTCTGTTTATCTGACATAATGTTTCTTTCCCTTTAATTTTTAAAGATGCTTTCTTAAAATTTCATAGAGTTGACAGATTTTTCTTTTAGTGTTTTAAAGATGTCATTCCACTGTCTTTTAAATTGTTATGGAGAGAGAGAGAGCACGGGCAGGGAGAGGGGCAGAGGGAGAAGGAGAAAGAGAATCTCAAGCAGGCTCGACCCTCACTGCAGAGCCTGATGTGGGGCTCGATCGTATGGCCCTGGGATCGTGACCTGAGCTGAAATCAACAGTTGGATGCTTAACTGACTGGGCCACCTAGGTGCCCCTGAATTGTATAATTTTTCATTAGACTCTGAAGAAATTCTTATCTTTGTTCTGTATGTAGCATGTCTTTTTCATGTGGGTGCCTTGAAGATTTTCTTTTCTCTCTTTTGGTGTTACAGTCACGCTTTTAATGATGTGTCCGGGTCACTATCTTTTGCAGGAGTTGGGGGCTGCTATAGTTATCCTACGTGAAGTGCTCTGAGCCTTTGGGTCTATGATCTTACGTCTTTCATTTTTAGAACGTTCATGATAAATATTAAGAAATTACATATTTCTTCTGCCTTATTCTCTCCTGTTTTTCTGGGAAATTAATTACCTGCATTAGTGATGATCTAATACTGTCCTAGCGCTCTTTGATGCTTTGTTTTTGTGTTTTTCCCTTACTGTCTTTCTCTTTGGGTTTTAACATGGCAATATCTATTGGCTTATCTTCAAATTTAATGATTCCACACTTGGCTGTGTCAAGTCTACTGACAAGCCCATTGAAGGAATTCATCTTTGATACTATATTTTGATTTTTACATTATCTGTTTGACTCTTTTGTTTGGCACCCATTTCTCTGATGAAATTCTCCATCTTGTCATATATGTGGCCTGTGTTTTACTCCTGATTACTTAACACATTAATCTTACTTACTTACTTATTTATTTATTTGAAGCCTTATGTGCCCCACACCCTTCAATGCTTTAGTTCATCTCGAATGTAACAGTTATTCTAGATTTAATATTTATCATTTATACTTTTATTTATGAATCGACCACACATGTTCACCTCCCTAATCATTTCCCACATCGTGTAACCTCTCTTACATATTTGCTACCTTTTCGACTCTTTTTGTCGCATTACGGATATTTTCCTTGAATCTGCCTTCTGATTTTTCTAATTCTCTCTTCAGCTGTATCTGATATCCTGTTTAAGTCGTTCCACTAAATTTTTAATTTTCATGACTTGATTTTTTATTTGGAGAAGTTTTCTTTGTTTCCCTCAAGTCAGTTTGTTTCTATTTTAATAGACTCTCACTCTGTCCTCATATTTATAGTTCTTTTATTTCTTGAAACATATCAACTTGGGTTTTTTCTTTTATAGTTACCATGCTGTACGTTACAGTCCCTAAAACTTATAAATGGAAGTTTGTAACTTTTGACCCCCTTCACTCATTTACCTGCCCCCCGCCCCTCCCTCTGGGATCCCTTTTCTCCCCCACACATATACGTGAGATCATATAGTACAGTTGACTCGAAGAACATGGGTTTGATCTGCATGGATTAAAAAAAATACAGTACAATACTGTAAATGTATTTTCTCTTCCTTATAATTTTTAAATAACATTTCCTTTTCTCTATTTTACTTTATCCTATGAATATATAGCATGTAATATGTTAACATGAAACATATATGTTAATAGACTATGTTATCAGTAAAGATTCTGGTCAATAGTAAGCTATTAGGAGTTAAGTTTTCAGGGCATCAAAAGTTATATGTGAATTTCTGACTTGCGAGGGGTCGGTGCCCCAGACCCCCACATTGTTCAAGGGTCAGCTGTATTTACCTTTCTCTGTCTGACTTACTTTGCTCATTGTAGCTATTTTAATGTTCCTGTCTGATGGTTTTAACATCTGAGTAACTCCTGAGTCTAGTTCTATTGACTGCTTCGTCTCTGGACAATGGATTGATCTTTTTTGCTTACTTTTTTCCATGTCTTCAAATGTTTGATTGAATACCAGATATCAGTATTAATTGAAAGGAACATACCCAGTGTTTCTTCCTGGAAATGGGTGAGTCTCTTCTGTCAGGTCACCAGGATGGTGGAGGGTAAGTTTCGATCAGCCTGCTCAGATGTTGACCTTGGCTTGGGTGTTGCTGTTCTTGCAATGACCTTCAAGGTACCTAAGACTTCGGATTCCTTCATGCTGGGCTTCCAGTGCCATGTGCCCAGGGCGAGGGCTGGAGGCGCAGAATTCTTGCTCTGCCCTAAGTTTCCAGCAGCCCCTATGTGCCCCACCCACGGAGGGGACCCCTCCACATGCCTGCCTCCCCCCAGTGACCGCTGCTGTTCCTGCGGCCGTGCCGGCCAGGCCGAGTCAGGGGCAGGAGGGCTCTGTTGTTCTGGCCCTGGCTCAGTCCTGAGCAGGCCTGTGGGCCTGGGTCTTGGAGGGCGAGGCTTCCTCACTTCCGGCTGCTCCTCCTGATGGCTGACCCCTCTAGTGGGGGGTGGGTTTACAGCGGTATTTCCCCGCCTCCCTTATGGTTAGTAGCCTCAAGGCACCACGCCAGGCCCGTGTCTGCATTCCTCAAGCCCCTGTTCAGCGGGGCAGGTTAGCCTCCCTGGCCCCTTCTGCAGCAGGAGTCTCTTGTGGTGGGTGTGGATTTATATCGCTTCTGCTGCCTGAGGAGCTCCCCCCACCTCCAGCTGAGCTGTTGGAAAGGGGGCTCTTTGAGGAGGGGCGGCCGCGCTTATGGTTTGTATATGCCGTCGAGGAAAGAACTTCAAAGTCTGTGAAAATAAGACAGGGGCAAGCTGCCTCAGGAAGGCACGATTTATTGGGCTCACACGGGCTGGGTTCCCTGCCGGAGACAGAGAAGGACCCTGGCGGAGACACGCAGGGTCACAGGGGGATCCGGCTCGTCCTGCTCCGTCCTCGCCCCAGGGTTCAGACGATTCATCCGGAATGTTTGACCTGCCACGCACAGAACCGGAGGCCCGGCGAAGACTTGGTCCTCACCGGAGGGGCACGGGTGGGGCCCCCTCTGCCCCCGGAGCAGGTGTTAGGAGACCCCTGGTCAGAAGCAGCACGGGGAGCTACAGCACACGGGTCTGCAGACCAGGGTGGGGCAGGAGGGCCGGCAGGAGGGCACACACTCGGGTCTGCAGCTCACGGGCACGCACACGGAGGACTGGCAGGAGGGCACACACTCGGGCTTGCAGCTCACGGGCACGCACACGGTGGGTCTGCAGCTCACAGGCACGCACGTGGAGGACTGGCAGGAAGGCACACACTCGGGCCTGCAGCTCACTGGCACGCACACGGCGAGTCTGCAGCTCACGGGCACGCACACGGGCTTGCAGCTCACGGGCACACAGCAGGACACCTGGCCGGGGCTGGAGGAGCCGCAGGAAGCCTGGCAGCCCGCGGAGCAGCTGGTGTGGCACATGTTGGCGTGGGGCTCGGCTGGTGTCCGGGAGGGAGGAGGGCGGGGACGTCTGGAGGCTCCTTGCCTGGGCCGCCTTTATACCGGGCCGTGGGCGTCCTGGCCACCCAGAGGCACAGCTGTGGACTTCCTCATGGCTGTTTCCGCCACGTTTCCCCAACACCCTCTTGTCCTGAGACGCCCTCCCCCGCGTGATGCTCCGCTGTAAATTAAATTTAGCTTAGAGGCAGTTTCTTCTTCTGTAAACAGGACGTCCTGGTTCGACTTTACTTGGGGTCCGTGTCACTTCTCCAGGCCAATACTGTGCCCGGAGCACCACCGGTTCGACTCAGCGCCGAGCCTTTATTCCTTTTTGCCGTCAGTGGAGGCTGTGGGGCAATAATGTGTTTTGAGCTTTTATTTTGCACGGGAAAACATTAAAGTAGGGATCTGCAAACTGGGGAGCAGAGAAGTCCGTGGGACAAAGGTGGCCTGCCGCCTGTTTGGCAAATAAAGTTTTATTGGAAACGGCCATGCTCGTTTGCTTACGTGCCGTCTAGGGCTCGCGCTGTAATGTGAAGTGGTTATGAGACCGACCACGTCACTGCAGAGGCTGAAACATTTACTGTCTTCCTTTTATAGAAAGGTGACCGACTTCTGCCTTATAGCCACCTATGTAATCATCGATTTGTTCGTGCAACAGACATATACTTTGTGCTGGCTATAGAGATGTCCTAGCCTCATGGGCCTTCCGGGGCAATGGATATATGAGTGCGTACAAATCAGCGCCTGAAATAATTACAGAGAGGGCCGAGTCCCAGAAAGGAAAGCAGGCTCAGCAGGTAGAGAGTAATGGGGTGTTGGTGGGTGGTTGGGGGCCTCTGTGTGGAGGCGGCGCTGAGCTGGCTCCTGGGAGATGCGGAGGGGTCGGGAGGCGGTGTTCCAGGCAGAGGCAGCCGTGGGAGAGTTAACGACACTGCTGCAGGATGGGCATGCTCCAGGAGCAGCGGGAAGCGTGGACGAGTGCAGTGTGGACGCTCGTCTTTAGGTGCGGGTGGACGGGTTCAGACCGTGCAGCTGGGGGTCCAGGCATCCCAGTCCTGGGCCGACAGAAGAAGAAAGACAATGTCAACTTGAAGACACGTCGGGAGGAGTCATCCAATCCGAAGAAGAGAGAACAGAATTACGAAAAACGAAGAGGGTCCCTGGGACGATATCGGGAAGTCGAACAACAAGCAAGTTCAACACAAGAAGAAGAGAATGATACTGAAGCACAAGAATGTTTTGAATAATGGGCAAAATACCCAAATTTGATCTATTAAAAAAATAGATACCTTCTACCTAATAGATATGCTTCTACCTAACAGCTCCAAGAAACTCAGAAACCCCCCAAAGCCCCAGCATAATTTGGCCCAATGGTGAGGACCACGGACTCCAGAGTGAGACCCAGCAGCTTCCAATTCCTGCTGCTTGGCTGCCCCGGTGAGAACGTGCACACAGCACGGAATCCTTCCGAACCTAATTGCACATCTGTGTAAGTGGGGCACACCTGCCCCTCGAATGGTGGCAGGGACCGATAACTAATCAGTTATGAGATGATCCACGTGAGATGCTTAGCACAACACCTGGCACACAGCTGGGACTCCCTCATTGTTATTCTTGGAATAACGTGGCCACAGCTCTCCCCGATGAGGAGTCCAGCCGCTTGGCCCTGGCCAGGGGAGGAAGGTGTTGTAGATCACTGAGTTTCCAAATCAAAACGGGGGGACCGCCCCCACCCCGTCCCCCCACCCTGGGTCTGGTGACTGGGATGGTACTTGTGTGGACAGGGGGCAGGATGTATAAACTTGGGGAGGACCTTGAACGTCCTGATGTGGAGTCCCCTGTCCCTGCTGACGGTCCTTGGCCATCCGACCTGGGGTCTGAATCCAGAAATCGCAGGGCCGCTGGGTCACAGGGAGCCTGGGGGCTGAGACAGAGTTTCCTGAACTGAGTCACTTCCAGCAGGACCTCCAGGAAGAGACGCACACAGGAGGAAGAGGAAGAAAACAAGCAGGCAACCAGGAGGAGGGCACCTGTGTGGCTTGTTGCCAGGACGCCACAGCCTGGGTATAAAAGCCGCCTGGGGAAGGAGGCTCCAGACCAGCCCCGTTTTCCACCCTGACTCCACTCCAGCCCTACATCGCCATGTGCCACACCAGCGGCTCCACTGGCTGCCAGCCGGCCTGCTGTGTGCCCAGCTCCTGCCAGGCGTCCTGCTACGTGCCCAGCTCCTGCCAGGCGTCCTGCTACGTGCCCAGCTCCTGCCAGGCATCCTGCTATGTGCCCAGCTCCTGCCAGACAGCCTGCCGCGTGCCCGTGAGCTGCAAGCCTGTTGTGTACCTGCCTGTGAGCTGCAAGCCTGTTGTGTGTGTGACCTCCTCCTGCCAGTCCTCCGGGTGCTGCCGGCCCTCCTGCCCCACCCTGGTCCTCAGGCCTGTTCCCTGCGGCACCCCTAACTGCGGCTAGCCCGTGGCCTCCTGGGACCCCTCCTCCGTGGGGCCAGAAGCAGCTGCTGTCTGAACTCCCGGCAGGCAGACCTCGTCCACCTGAGACCTTCTGTCCTGACTAGACCATCTTACAGCAAAGCCGCCTGATCCCCACTAACCAAGCGGACAGAGTCACCCCCGGCGTCCCCCGACCCCAGCCCGGGTCGTCCACACGGCACCCACCCTGGCTGGTGCAAGCGCCCAGGCTCTGCAGCCGCCAACACTGAGCTCTAATAAATCCCAGAGCGCATGTGAAGCCCAGCCAAGCGTGTATGCTGTCTCTCTTTAGTGCTTTCCCCAAACTGCTTCCTCCAGGGCTCGCTCCCAGGCTTCTGGAAAGCTCCTCTACAGAGAAGCCACAGGGGACCAGATGGCTGTGCCCGGGAGACTGACCACTCAAAGGCGGCCCCTTGGGCGTGTGGGCACTCCTAGCTCAGCCCGACAGGCCCCCAGGGCTTCCTGTGTCCCTTGAACGTGAGGTCAGTTCTCACTCAGCTCTGGGTGGGACCCAGGGTGACCCTCTGACTTTGTGAGGTTAAAAGTCCCCTGCTCAGCAATTACTACGCGAGCCCACCCCGGTCTAACCATTAAAACTGTCCGCTCCATACAGAGTACAGCTCCTCCTGCAAACGTCCGGGGGCACAGGGCTTTGTGGGTAACTTCCGTGGGCCCCGGAGATGTCCGTGTCCCCATGCCCGGAATCAGCGACTGCAGCCCTACAGGCGAGGCGGCTTCCCAGACGGGGTGCACAGAGGGTCTCGCAATGGGAGACGCCCTGGAGTAGCCGGGCGGGCCCGTGTCATCCCAGGGACAGGCGGGAGACGCGCAGAGAGGGCGTGGTCGTCGGCACAAGGAAGCCGAGGCACACCGGGGTGCCGGGGGGAAGCTGTTTGGGAACCGAGAAATAGTGTAAGAGGAACACCATCAAGGGGGGGTCCTTCCTGCAGCGGACACATATCTGGAAACTTCCCTTATCGTGAGGTCACGGGATAATAGAGGATGTGAAATTCATGAGCGGCTCTCAGAGCACTGGCCCTTCGCAGCCCTTCTTCGTCCTTGGTCCCGTTCGGACCCCACCACCAGCCACTGTCTCACCGTCACAGGAGCTCAGTCGTTGCGTCAGTCCCTTGTCTTGCACACACCCTCCCTCCAGGACCCCGGGGCCATGGGCCCACCCACCAGGCAGCAGGGAGGCCCTCCCAGTGTCCTCAGTGACACCTCGGAGGGGGCGACCGTCCTAGTCTCGGGCCCGATGGGTGACGGGGTGTCTGGGGTCGGGAGTTGCCCACAGACGGGCTCCCCCGAGATCTGGGGGGTCCCAGAACATGCTGCACCGTGAACGGCGTTCAAGAAGCTTCCAACGGTAACGACAGCCATCACCTCCAACTCGTTCTCTCCTGGGTAGCGGTCCCCGCTGACGGTGTAGACGCTCTAGCTGGGAGTTGTCCCGCTGACGGTGTAGACGTTCTGTCTGAGAGCTGTCTGGCTGACCGTGTAGATGCCCCGTCTGGGAGCAGTCTGGCTGATGGTGTAGAGATGCCCCGTCTGGGAGCAGTCTGGCTGACCGTGTAGATGCCCCATCTAGGAGCAGTCTAGTCCGGCTGACTGTGTAGATACCCCGAATGTGAGCAGTCTAGTCTGATTGACCATGTAGATGTCTATCTGGGAGCAGTCTGGCTATGTAGACGCACCGTCTGGGAGCAGTCTAGTCTGGCCGACAGTGTAGACGCCCTGTCTGGGAGCAGTCCACTGACCATGTAGATATTCCAGCTGGGACTAGTCCTACTGACTGTGTAGACGCCCCTCTGTGAGCAGTCTGGCTGACCATGTAGATCCCCCATCTGGGAGCAGTCCGGCTGACCATGTAGACGCCCCAGCCAGGAGCAGCTTGGCTTCAGGGTGGCCGGCCACGCCTTCTGCAGCTGTGACCGACTTTCCCGGGGAGCCATCAGAAAGTCCTGGATGTTCTTGTGCCACGAGGCAGGGGTGGGGGCGGGGGCACGTCCTGCAGGGGCCCTGCCCCTCCCTCCCATGCACTATCCTGGCACCGTTGTGGGTTGTGGGTTGCTGGTTTCCACGTGAGTCAACATCCATGCACTGCACTCTTTTTGGTTCCCGATGAGGCGGAACTTCCTCACGTCTCTCACTCTGTGCTGTGAGGAATCCAATCTGCCCGTCTATCTGTGCAGACGGTGGAATTTTTCTTAAAATTCAAATGGACGAGGAACGGGCACAGGTTTTGAATAAATGTGGGGAAACTGAGGGATTTAGGAGTCAAGACAGGTAACAATCCAGCCCCTTTCTCTTCACAGGCCCCTGAGGATTTTGCTCTGTCTCTGCTTCCCTGGGAGGGGGGTGGGGAGAGCCAGCCTCTGCGAAGAGGTACCTCTCGCTTCCGGCTGCCGGCCTCTGCTGTTCTGCTCCCGAGGGCCTCTTCCGTCTGTCCCTGGCACCAGGGACAAATAGGGAGCCTGATGCTGACCTGGTGGGTCTGGCCGGTGCTCCCTGACCCTCTCTAGTGCTAGTGGTCCACTGAGACTGCAGGCTCGTCCTCTTCCACCGTCCTGAGGATTTGTTCACAAGGCAGCATTTTGCTCCCTGTCTCCTCAATCAGGCCTTGAAACCTTGAGCAGAATGCGTGATGCCTGAACCGACCCCTGCACCCCTCCTGGGGCCCGTGGGAATCTGCTGGTGCTTCAGAGCATCAGCCCTCGTGCCCAGACCAGCACGCAGGCGTTCCTGTGTGTGGACGCCTCTCTCCAAGGGCGTCAGCGAGGTGTTACTGGGCCCTCGGGTTCCCACCAGGTAGGGTCGTGCTGCCCCCAGCTCACCTTTAACCTGCACGGTCAGGGGGCCAGGCGTGGGCAGGGCCCAAGGCCCACTCAGGGCGCGAGGCTTCTGCAGCCGCACTCACATGCCGGGCCCAGCCCGGGGAAGGCCTGGCTCTTCCCCGGGAGGAAGGTGGGGCCGCGGGGTGGGAAGGGAAGTGGAGTATGCGGACGGCGTCCGCGTGCAGATCTCCTCTTTCGGGGGCTTTGAACTTGGACTTGGAGGCTACGTCTTTGTCGCTTGCTTCCACCAGGCAGAGCAAACGCTGCCCGCGTTGGCGTGGTCTCTGGGCTCAGAGGAGAGGGAACAACACAGCCATCTCTGTTTCATGATCCAGACATTTTATTGATGATAGCAGTGGCCTTTGTCACCCGGAATGAGAGCAACCAGCCTGCAGGGGAGGGCTCCAGGGTGCAGCAGCCCCCCCACCCCCCACCCCGTTGAGGGACCTGTCTTTGCAGAAAGGGAAGCCGGGCATGTCCGGATCCCCGGGAGGCAGCAGCTGTGCGTCCACCGAGGGGCAGGGGCGTCCTGGCGCCCCCAGAGGGGTTCCGGGGCTCCTGAGAGAGGACGTCTGCGCTCTGGAGCAAAGATGGCAGCTCTAGAGGCAGAAGCTGGAGCCGGTCAGCAGCAGGACTGGCCCGAGACAGGGCCGCAGCAGGCGGGGCGGGGGCACGCGGGGCGGCAGAGCAGGGATACACTGGAGGAGGGTCTGCAGCACGGGCTGGGCTGGCAGCAGGAGGGGGCTGAGCAGGGGGAGTCCTCGCAGCACACAGGGGTGCAGCACACGGGCTTGCAGCAGACAGGGGTGCAGCAGGTGGGCCTGCACACGGGGCGGCAGAGCAGGGACACGCAGGAGGCTGGGCGGCAGCAGGAGGAGGCAGGGGTGCAGCAGGCGGGCCTGCACACGGGGCGGCAGAGCAGGGACACGCAGGAGGAGGGTCTGCAGCAGGGGCTGGGCTGGCAGCAGGAGGGAGCTGAGCAGGGGGAGTCCTCGCAGCAGACAGGGGTGCAGCAGATGGGCTTGCAGCAGACAGGGGTGCAGCAGACAGGCTTGCAGCATGCAGGGGTGCAGCAGTCTTCCTGGCAGGGGGA